TTGGTTGAAATTTCTGAGATATTTCGAGGTAAAATGAGTGAGAAGATGGATATTGATTCTGAAGTGGTAGAAGAGACTAGAGATAAGAAAAGGTTTGAGATCAAGAAATGGACAGCAGTGGCGTTCTGGTCGTGGGATATTGCAGTTGATAATTGTGCTATTTGTAGGAACCACATTATGGAACCTTGTATTGAATGTCAGCCGAATGCCATGACTGAAACTGATAATGAATGTGTTGCAGCCTGGGGGACTTGTAATCATGCTTTCCATTTGCATTGTATTAACAAGTGGATCAAGACCAGAGATGCATGTCCCTTGGATAATCAACCTTGGCAATTGGCTAGATGTGGCAGGTGAGGTGAGGTCAGGTGAGGTGAGGTGAAGTGCAGTGAGGTGAGATGATGATTACTAGTTTGAATTCCGATTTGGCGATACATATACATATACATATAATTAGAATTTACATACGAGTATGTACCGGTTTATACTATAATGATATATCAATGTGAGTATTTATTTACAGGTGATCTATGTTGCAATACGTTATATCTTTGAATATTTGATAATACACTCTTTGGCGAGTACTAATTCTCCATAGACTGAGACAGCGTGATCAAGGTGTCTACGTTGAAACTTGCAGAACCTTTCGTGAAGTCCCTTAGCAGTTGCAATCTTTGCTTTGAGGATGGTGTTTCCTCGCCCATGGCTCCATAAAACCTCTGGACGTTCAACAGTAACAACTGGGCGTCTTGCAGAGAAACGTTCATGTCTGTTTCCACTTGACCATTCATAAATACGCAATTTTTGTCTTTGGCCAACTCGGAATGGAACTGCAAAGTGGTATGCGGTCTGGCATACTCCTTATGCAGCTTGTACTCTGCTAAAGAGGTCATTATACAATGGACAGTATGTGGGCCCACGAACTGCCATTGGATGTAATGCAATTCCATTCCGGAGTCTTGGCCCTCGGCTTCTCTTGGCAAGGGCAAGACGAACGCTGGATTTTCCTTGGAGTTAGCCAACATCTTCTCATATACGTCTATTGGCACCACAGCATTCAACACATTATCCTTGTTTGCCCATTTAGCTCTCCACAAGAACTCTACCTCTTGTCTGGACAACTGACTGATCTTCTCCACGTTCAAATACGAGTCCAACGTCTTGAATGGTACCTTTGGCTGCGGAGAATCAAGCGGACCCTTGGATCTAGTCAATCCGCTGGAATCCAGCTGCTGTTGCTGTTGCTGTTGTCCAAGGACACCGACAGTTTCTTCATATCCTTTCAAAGGATCATTCTGAGCAAACTCCTTCTTCTTAGCGTCAATATCGCCCTTCAAGCCATCCCGCATCTCCTCGACACTGGCATACCCTTTGGCCTTTGCCAGCTGTTCCAACTTGACACGATACCTTGCCTCGATGGCCTCTGTGCTATACCCATTCATCAAAACCTTCGAAACTCTAATTTCCTTAACACTAGCAAACCGTCTCACCAAAAATCTACTGAACATAATCTAATCCAATAGAAGTAGTCAATTCAACTGATTCCAATCTCCCAATCCGAACCTCAACCTCCTAATCCTGCCCCAAATCAATGCTTCTTAACCACTTCTGATCCAAAATGTGCTTTCTTTTCAATGTCGAGTTCGAATTCGAATTCGAATTCGAGTTCAATTTCGAACGTTGTTTGGTGATTTTTTGATGTCGCCACGGGAAACGGGAAGGACCTGGTGGGAATTTTGAAAAATTCTAAATTAGTATATAAGAAGAGAGGGTCAGAGGTTAAACTAGATCATGATTAAGAAGGATGACTAAAGTTTGATGGGGATGGATGGTAATGATGAGGTTATAGGTATTTATATTTTGATAATTTGATATTTTGATGGATTGATTTGATTTTGATTGATTTGATTTTGATTGTGGATTTTGTAGGATTATATTTGGTAGAGTAATTTTGTTAGGACAAATTGAATAGAGAGAGTGGGGAGGGAACGATATAATAATAGTAATAATCATAATAGTGATAATAAAAACCGTGGAGTAAAAGGGTCTTTAGGTTTTTGTTTTGTGAATTATGAGTTCTTCTATGGATAATGATTCTGTTTTGTTGAAGTTGATTGACGAGCATAAACCTCATTTGAAGAGGTACTCCCATCGGTTGCAAACATGGGAACTGGTTTTGTCCAAATATAATTTTATTACGAAACGGAATTATAGACAGTTGAGGTCTATACGGAATAAATTCGAGAGGTTGAAAGTGAAGTATGAGCAAGATCGGCGTCAGATACCTGAGGAGATGGTCGATCTTCTGGAGAAGATTATATTGGAATCTAATACTGTTTCGAAAAGGGTTTATGTCGATTCTAGGAGGGACAGGGCTCGAGAATTGGAAGCAATGGATAATTCTACCGATCGGATGCCTGAAGTAATGGTTCATCGAGATTCGATTCCTGTTCAGATGGTAGAAGAGAGTAATGGCGACCCGTTGGAGAGGACGCGGAGTTTGGATTTGGATGAATTGAGTTCCGTTTCTTTGGCGTTTCAACCGCCTCCTCTAGATTCGATTATAGTTGGATACCCTCACGGCCAACTACGGCACAGCGATGACAGCAATGGGGATAACAGTAATATGAAGGTGGATCTGGCCTCGCAGCAATCTTCCATGGCTGGATACGCCAGTGATTTGAAGGATAAATCGGACATCTCGTATACAAAGGGCAATGAGGGCTCCGAAGGCGATCTAATAGAGTCACAGTTACTGGCAAATATTTTGAGTCATGTGACAAAGCAGCAACACCAACATCATCATCATCCTCAATTGCAACTGCAACAAACCCAACAACACCACCACCAGCAACAACAGCAGCAGCAACACCAACAGCAGGTGATGCGCCCACAGCAACAGTACAAAATGAACTTCAATTACACAATGGGTGGTAATAATCAACCTTCGAACGTCGACATCGAATCATTCTATTCAGAATTTAAGAAATTTGAAAAAAATCAGGAAATTTTCCAAATGAACGTACTCAATGAACTCCATTTAATCAAAAATCTAATTCTAGAAAAGGACAATTGTTCATTAAACTCAGCAACCTGAGTTAAATTGTAAAAAATAAGTATCATTAATACACACACCTATGAACAAAATTTTTAATTATTAAAAAATAATCAAAACTGAAATCAAAAAAACACATCTTTTTTACCATTATTCTTATTACTACTATAATTATTAGTATTATTGTTATTTAAATATATTCTATATCAAAATATGTAAAATAAAAACGCAAGTAATATAGGTACAGGTTACATATATTTTAAAATCAAATCGAATTTCTCAACTCTAACAATTTTTCCCAACCATCAGAATCATCCCATCTGTTCTTCCCTTTACTCATCAATGCTTTGATTGCGGCTCTTGCCTTATATTTCCAATCTTTGCAAACTAAACTTCCTGATCCATGTCTACCCTCCATCTCTCCAAGGGACTCATAAGCTGCGACCAAATCTTCACAAGCGACAACAGTGTCATTCCAGACATTTTCATCGATTTCAATATCAGAATTGTGAGACGCAGCTCTATAAGCCTTTTCATGACAATCTAATGCAGCCCATGGTCTTTTACGCCATAGCTCAACTCTAGCGACAAGTCTCCAACATCTAGCACTAGTTGTTATCACTGTTGGTAAAATGTTACAAATGAAATCAACACATGACCTTTGGAAGTGTGTCAACTTTTGTTCTTCTCCAACGATGTAATCAGTTGATATCAATAGATCAACTAGTTTCTCGACTACTGGAAGATCAATGGATTTTTCACCATTTTTATCTCTATTCATTGAAACCAAGTGTCTACATGCAAAAAGTACGTCATCCCATTCATTCAATTTGACTGCAACTATTAAAAAGTTCTCCCAAATTCTCCAGTTCTTCTGGGAATCACAAGATGTGGCCCTCTTCAAACAACTGAATGCTTCCTTTAGTTTACCTTGTTCAATATATGACGCACTTAAATTTGACCAAGCCATTGCATGAGTGTCATCTAATGAAACGCAACGAGAGAAGGCTTCAGCAGCCAGGTCCATTTTTCCACATTCTAAACCTAGACAACCATAGAAATACCAGGTTTCGAAATTCAATGTATATTGCCTTAATGAATCATTTAGATGCTTTAAAGCAGTGACATAGTCCCTTTGAAGACCTGAACTACTTGGTGGATTGTAATAATATTTAGCCAAAGAGTTTTTAGCATTAACGTATTTACCAATTTCCCAACTCTTTTCCCACAATGTAGGATCTTGCCTAATATCACCCAAGATAGAGTAAGCTCTTGCATCATTTGGATTTTTTTCAACCCTTTGTAACAAAATTTCCTCAGCTTTCTTTTCATCGCCAACAGCAGCATAACATAAAGCAGCTTCGCAACTCATCTGTAACCTTTCGTATATCTCAACAGCAGATTTTAAAATACCAACAGACATAAACTTTTCAGCCAATGTTGAATCTAATTCCCAACGAGGCATATACGGTAGTTGATGGATGAATTTTAATCTTAGAGTTGGTTGTTGAGATTCTTCATCGGCATTTTGAGGTATTAAACGAGTAGTTATTTGGATCCCAAGTTCTTCCACCAAAGATTGCATTTGTAACAAACCTCTTTCGATGGTTTTGGCCTTTGTAGTTTCGATAATAGATCTTTCCCATAAACTACGAGAAAAGATGGACCAATTCTTGTTGCCTGATTGATAAATTATTCTCGAAATAATAGCAGATAGCTCTTCTTCAACTAATGGATCTTTAGCAGGGGAAGTTTGTCTTATGGTATATAAACGTAATAATAATTGGATGTTGTCATAATCTGACAATGCAGGTTGGTCGTTAGGATCTAATGCTTGTAATTCTACAGGGATATTCTCTTGACGAATAGCTACAGGAAGTATTTTATCTTCCTCTAAACCTTGCTCTTCATCATCTAATTTTTGTTTCTTAACTATTTGTTCATCTAAAGGTTCTGAACCAATAGATTCAAAAATAGGCTTTTCTAAAAGTATATCTGAGTTCAACTCGAAACTAGATGGATTTGATTTATCTGCTTCGGTGTTGGTCATTTCCAAAAATGATGAGGATTGGGCCAATATAATTAAACCAGAGTGAGCCTTTTCTTGGAACTTTGTTCTCTTTGCACGAGCACCAGTAAGCACAAATTTAAAATCTGTAAGCTTCATTACTTTAATCAATGAAGGCAAACATAAATGTTCAGTTTGGATTACTAAGGAACATTTGACATTTTCCAAGTAATATATCGTATATATCTTTTTCTTTAAAGATTCTTCAACAAATTCTGGTAACTCTTTTACAACACTATGAGCCAAATCAATGGAAGATAAAATAGAAGAAGCTACTATTGGTTGTAAACCAGAAGGTTCAGGAAGCAAGGACAAATGTGCCATCAAAGCTCTGGCTCTCCACCAATGTGCAATAGCCAACATACTTGAAGTAATCTCTCTATTAATAGTTACAATTGGAGCTTCTTCATTTTGGTCTGTCTTAAATAAAGATGGTTGATTAGTGATGGCTTCTAATAATATCAATGACAGGACTAGCAAAATTGGTGAATCTGTCAATTCATAACACGCTTGACCCAACACAGTTAAAGAATTCACTAATGCCAAATTAACATCAGAATTTTCCAAGATTGCATTATTCAATACTAATTTATTAATTTCAATTGGTGCTAGTGGACCTGTATAATTATTTTGGATGAAAGTTTGCAATAATGCAATCGCCAAGATCAAAGCTTTATTGCCATCTAATTTTCTTATTATATTTTCAGAAACGTATTCTGATAATTTATCAATAAGGTTTTCCGTGTTATTAACATCCAAAGCTGGACCAACAGTATCTAAAAGACGGTTAACCACTAGATAAGATTTACCAGACAACAGTAGTTTTGTAAATTCAATATTTTCAGCATCGGTATTGTAATCACCACTGATTTCGTTAACATCAGAAGTTAAAAGTAAATGTGCATGTAGGAGAACATCCATGATTATTAATATTTACTTAAATCCGAATAAAAAGTATTAATCAAATGGAATCTAGTTTTTAACTAGTTAACTATTCGGAATTTTTAAAAAGGTTAGGGAAGTGGAAACCAATTAGAGAATTATCGTTGTTTGCCAGATCTTCGTCAGTATGAACTGCTTATCTTTTATCTTATAATTGATCTCACCTTACCTCATCTCATCTCATCTCATCTCATCTCATCTCAGCCATCGAGATGAAGCTTTAATTTCGAATTTTATCAAATTTTTCTAGAGGCCTGCCAATGTCACGTGAATAAATACGGGTAAGTTAAACTATTAAACTATGTATGTGGTAGCGCTGCATTTGAAAGAGATGTGGACAGAACTTCCCTGTAGAAGAAGCCCTCTATCTCCCTGATATAATACAATCCCATCTTTATAGACAATTAGTCGTTCAACTTAATATGCATTAATCCCAAACTTATATTGTATTCTCGATAAAATATTATAAAGTACAATAGTATATGAAGAAATTCAAATAGAATTCGGCAGCCATGAAACAACTCATATACTCCATTTCCCTATTTTCTCACTATTTTCAAGGCCAGTCACTGTCTTGCGTCAATAACCCCATATATGATCTAGAAAAGAGATCTAGAGGGTAAGATTCTACTTTCTATATTTGGAGATGAGTGATATGTATAATAGTTAATTAGCGTCATCCATAAATTCCTATTTCATAGTTTGACTAGTTAATAACTATTCCAGAGGATAAACACTGATCATAATCTAATCGATCTAGAACTTATAATTACCCTGGCCTTAACCTAAACGTTTCTTGTACGTTATAAAAATTTACTTACACGTGATCATCAAAAATTTTTCATCTCATCTCATCATCCATTTTGCGATGGTATATAAAGACAGACGACAACTTGAATTCTTTTAGTTTCCCAATTACCATCCTCTTTCTTTTTGATATCTTAATTGTTTTTGATTGTTTATTTTCTAAAGACTCCAATCATTTTATTTTGCTGCATTTGGGGGCCATTACTGGGTATTGAAAGATAAAGTTTCCAATTCCCTTAGTCTCCAAAAAGCATAGATAGATTTTTTTAATTACACCAGTTTGAATCGGTTCTTCTCCTTTTTTTAAGTTGGATTGATATAGAAGTGTGTGAACATTCTTTTGTTAATTTGTTTGTATATTCATTGTAATTTAAGTAGTCTTGATCTGTTTTTGAGATGTATACTCATATCTTGGGCTGATGGTAGTGAAAAGAGGCTGTCCTAATATATTGAGAATGGTTAACGTTATCATTGCTGATTTCGATGAAACTATTACTGTTAAAGATACAATAAGTATCGTAGCTAAGATGCCTTATATATTTAAAGCTAATAAGAATTTACCTGAATGGTCGTTCTTTACAGATTATTATTTGTCAATCTACAAGCAAAACATAAGAAATTTCAAGAGATCAATTCCGATCGTCTCAAGCTCTTTGCCAAATAATATTGATGATTACTATTCTTCATTATCTAATGAATTTAACTATCAAAAATTCTTGAAAGCAAATATTGAAGAGTTGAGCATTGATAAATTGACCAAATACAATGTATTCAAAGATATCTCTGTATCCCAAGTGAAGCAATTTGCACGAGATCCAGGTTGTCATGATTTGGTGCGTAAAGGTTTCCAGCAATTTTTAACAAACTATCAACATCACTTCAATATCATTTCAATCAATTGGTCAAAGGAATTCATTAGTAACGTAATTAAAAATAACTGCGAGATCGATATACCTTTGCAGTCTATAAATTGTAACGATCTTCTTTTAGACAATGGTGTCTACACAGGGACTTTTTCAAGAGATAACATTGTTGGATCAGATAAAGTTGTTACTTTAGAAAAAATAATTACTTCAAACGAAGATAATTCTTCAGCTCTAACAAGTCCGAATGTTTATTGGTATATAGGAGATAGTGAGACTGACCTCTTGTGCCTATTACATCCACGAGTGAATGGAATACTTCTCTTGGACCCATTAGAGAACAAAGATAAATTCCTAAGGATAACTAGGACTCTTCTAAACATCGTTGATCCTAAACTACAAGAATTCATCGATACACCAGATGAAAGGTTCATCAAGTGTTTGTCAAAGGGTTCAAATAATGTATATTTAGCTAAAGATTGGTATAGCATTAATCAGTATATAAACTCATTTAAATAACTGCAAATATGTATGCAAAACATAGATAGTTATTGTGAAGTCGATCGCCTATACTTGGCCATTGATAGATGTAAAGGTTGACTAAAAGTATAAAAATAGCAAACTGATGAAACCGATACAGCTTGTGTATTACTTTTATATCTTTAAACTTCTTGATTGATCATGTGACACTATACTTGGTGAGATTCCTTTTAGCCGCCAATGTGTTACCCGGACTCATTTGGGATATTTTTCCGTTTTCGATTTTTGAAACAATTATCACGTGATGGTATTGGTATACCCGGTATGAGAAATCAAAGAAACCAAAAAAAAAATCGATGAAAAATCGATGAATAAAAGAATCAACATATTTTGATGTGATGAGATGACAATTAAAATTGATTCCTTTATGATGTTGTTGATCTCTAAACTTATAGAAAACAGTATCTCTAGTGTGGCCAAGGATTGAAGTACGTATATTGCTTCATTTAGCTTATTAATCTTTGACCCTTCTCCGTTCAAGTTCCTGTGATTTGATATCAAATAAAAGCAAATAAGAATATTTCACTATGAATGGATTAATTGGCAATGGATCTGCAATTGATCTTTCGGATATAGCAAAGAATCTACACACTAAGATGATCACAGATGCAAGTAGACAGTTATATACACAAAAGGAATTACAAGATTTGGTCGGGATCAACACATTAAGTGAATTAATGAGTAACATCCAAGAATTGTTAGATAGAAATCTGATTAAATTGATCAAGCAAAATAATGAATTGAAGTTCCAAGCTGTCGAAAGGGCTGAAGCTGAAAAGAAATCTACCATGTCAGCAGAGGAAGCTCTAGTTTATTCTCATATTGAAGCCAGTGGTAGAGAAGGTATATGGACTAAGACGATTAAAGCTCGTACTAATTTGCATCAACATGTTGTTTTAAAGTGTCTGAAGTCATTAGAATCCCAAAGATATGTTAAGAGTGTCAAGAGTGTAAAATATCCTACTAGAAAAATTTATATGTTGTATAATTTGCAACCATCGATTGATGTTACTGGTGGACCATGGTTTACTGATAGTGAATTGGATGTCGAATTTATTAATAGTTTATTGACTATTATTTGGAGGTTTGTTTCTGAAAAGACCTTTCCAAATGGATTCAAAAACTTCTCTGAAGGTTTTAAAAGTTCACAAATATATGCACCAAATGTTAAAAACTACTCAACTGTGGAAGAAATATTGGTGTTTATTAGTAAAGCACAAGTTGCAAATGTTGAATTATCAACAGATAACATTAGAGCATTATGTGAAGTATTAGTATTTGATGATAAATTAGAGAAACCTGAATTTGACTGTTATAAAGTAACATTGCAAAGTGTTTTACAAATGACTAACTCAACAAAATTAGCTACTCAAAGCTCAAAGGAAGGTATGAATGATGATGATGATGAGTTTTCAATTTTCCAATACTACGGATATTTGCCAGCATCACAAAATGATAAAGAAGCAGTCTTCTTCGATGAATGGACATTATAAATAAACTTTAAAATTGAACTCGAGTATTATTTGAGGGGGGGATGAACTGAACTAAACTAAACTAAACTAAGTAATCCAAGATTAATATGGACAAAAAAGAAACCATATTAGGTTAATCTTTTAAAGTTTAATAAAGAAATTCATTTGATAAAAGAAACAAGTCGTTTAACTTCCAATAGGAGGAAACCATGAGACTAAAATAATCTGCATATACCTATATATATTTTTATATATACATTATAATTTCAATAACAATTGCATACAATGATTTACTGCTAATAATAATGGCATCGATTTATGATCATTGTTATTATTAATTTGAGTTGCAAATATAGATTTCAACCTTGAGAACATAAAATTGAACAAAGCTGCTACTTCAGTGGCACAGTTAAAGTAACCTATTATAGAAAACAAGGTTCACCTCAAGTGGAACATTCTTATAGAAGTTAGTACAACATCTTGAAATTGATTGATCATACTTTTCCATAATCAAGTATCTTTAATATAGCCGGTATTGTATAATTGTAAACATAGTCAGTTATCAAGAAACTTCATTAATATAGTCCCCTCTTCTGAAAGACCTGAATTGTAACTTTTCAGAAATGTATGGCTATTGTTAGAGATTCATTCGCATTGATTCCAGCAACTAAATCCATTAGCTTGAAATCTATACAAGATACGGCTGACTACAAATGTTGATGTATATTTTAACATAGAATTTTGTTGATTTGTAGCTTAAACTTAAAATATTAACAAAACTGCAAGACTAAAAAGTATAACAAGGGCTCGTTCCATAAAACGATTGCATTAAAATCGGTTGTTATCATTTAACGTTGGTCATCCCAACAAGTAGTCACCAACATTAACCTCTAAAAGCAACCGACTTCGATCTTACCACTTTTTAACAATAGAGGATACAGTTCTTGGTTAGTTGCAGGTCTTGACCAAAATTCGTAATCGTAACGAGTATAATGATATTAATGGCATAATTAATTACTAAGTTGTTACTGTTTCTTGTTGTTATTGTTATTGTTTTTGTTATTATAATACCATTTTTAACTAAAAGTGAAAACAAGTAAAGCAAGGCTGATTTTAAGTAGGATAAATTACCCCTTCCTGTATAAAGGTTTACCAAGTAAAGAAACGAAAACTGACAACTGGAGATGCATGCATGTTTAATCATCCATCCCATCTTGAAACATATACTTCTTTATTTGGTTCAAATAACAACTTCATTCAAATCTTGAATAAAATAGAGAGGGGTATATATGGTTGAGAAGTGGACTTTCTAGGAGAAGGAGGGGGTGTGGAGAAGGGAATAGGTAATTGATGAATGATGGATAGTTCATGCAATACACCGAACAGCTTAAAATATTGTAGTTAAACTTCACTTGTCTAGTCTCTTCGAAACCTCATCAATTAAGTTATCTAGATCTTTATTGGTTAAATGCTTTTAACAACTGAAAAGTAAGGAATCGAACAAATGTACCGTTGAAGAAGTTCTTACTTTTAAGAGAAAGGGATAGGTAGGGAGGTGAAAAAGAGATGAGGAAGAACTGTTCATGGTCGAATCGAACTTAGTTTGTTGATTTATGATCACTACGATGGTTGTTATTATGTTGGTTCTTTTTACTTTTTATGTGTGATCTTTCTTGCAGAAATAATAAGAAATGAGAGCATAGAAAAAAATGTCAAGTTCGTTAAGGGATACGGGACTCTGTGGGAGAAACTCGGAGACTTGATATTATGTTTTTATGTTTCCTTTTAAATCATACTACCGTTATTATCATCATCGACAAACATCATCATCCTCATCCACATCCACATCCTTGTCATCCGCTTTCACTGCTGGTAATCAACGTTGTAATTAGTCTTACCACTGGCATTGGAAATTCGCTGGTGTGAATACTTTAGTGTGGACCTATACGTAAACATCATTATGCCTCTATTTTGGGTTGAAAGAAATTCCGTTACTTGAACTTATACTATTATGGGGTCTTCGTTTTTAATATTATTTTTGTTAAGAGAAGAGTACCAAGTTACTCTATGTATTGCCTGAACTTCTAGCCTATGACAACCTCAAAATTGGAACCTTGACTCTAAATGTAATCATTTATGGGGGAATGGCAAATTTTAATAGAAACAGAACTCCAGTGAAAGTTCGGTCTTCTCAATGAATCTCTGTAGATGTTTCAAAAGGGTATAATGAATATATTGAATAGGTCAAACGGTAATGAGTACTTCTCCTGTAACTTATTTTTATATTTTATCATACAATTCCAATATTAGATTTAACTTGGGAAATAACGTTGTAGCTTCAGGAATATACTAGTGCTCTTTGGCGACATGGCTAAGTTTAGAATCTATTAATCTAAATGCATGCTTAAGAAACCTCAATAGTAAAAAGAAAAATAATATAGGTCTATCATTATCCACCAATTTGAAATCATATAAAAGAATACAGTTTTCATCTCTAAAAATTAATCTTTGGAATCTTATTCGATTAATATCCTCTAATCTTGTTTCTATTTCACTCCTAAATCTTGTTAAAACACCAACAAAAACTAAAAGTTTGTACAATAAATCATTGAATAATAAAAATCAAGACTTCTAGTTTACTGATATCACAGAATATTAATACTAATAATAATAATAATAAAATTAATTCGAAGATACCAGTATACTAAGTTCAATATTGAAAATACAAATTTTCCTATTTTTAAACCAAAAAGTAATAGTAATAATCTAAAGATTATATTGATTTTGCATATTTATCATACCCTTTTAATATGTCAGAAGTAAGCAGCACTAATACAGACTTGGAAAACAATCCAATCACTTATAATGGTGACGGTACCGAAACTGGACGTTATAATGACTCTGCGCCAAGTAAAAGTGTTTCAACGGATTCATTAGGTCAAGTATACACAGCTGGTGAAAATGATGAATACATCTTTATTGGTAGACAAAAATTTTTGAGATCCGATTTGTATGAAGCTTTTGGTGGTACTTTGAATCCAGGTTTAGCGCCAGCTCCTGTTCATAGATTTGCTAATCCTGCACCATTAGGTTTATCAGCTTTCGCATTGAGTACTTTTGTTTTATCTATGTATAATGCTGGTGCTCAAGGTATTGTTGTTCCAAATCTTATTGTTGGTCTAGCTATGTTCTATGGTGGCTTAATGCAAACTATTGCTGGTATTTGGGAAATTGCATTGGAAAACACTTTTGGTGGTACCACATTGTGTTCATATGGTGCTTTTTGGTTGAGTTTTGGTGCTATTTATATTCCATGGTTCGGTATTTTAGAAGCTTATACTGCAAAGCCTAGTGACTTGAATAATGCGTTAGGTTTTTACCTGTTGGGATGGGCGATATTTACTCTTGGTGTTGTTATTTGTACAATGAAATCTACTGTATTGTTCTTTGGTTTATTCTTCATGCTGTTTATGACATTCCTATTGTTATGTATTGCCTCGTTCTCTGGTAGACATAGTGTTCAAGTTGCAGGAGGTGTGTTTGGGGTAATCACTGCATTCATTGCATGGTACAATGCATACGCAGGTTTGGCAACGAGACAAAACTCGTACATCTTGGCACATCCATTCCCATTGCCATCAAACGAAAAGGTTATTATTTAATTCGAATCTAACTCAATACGTTCAGATTTTTCAACAAGTTTTAATTCAATTCAATTCAGTTTAATTTAATTCAATTTTAATTTAATTTAATTCGTTTCAATTAGTCTAAGATCTCGTTACATCCTCCTCACCTTCAACATATATCCATCTGCGTCCAAGACCGATTAAATAATACGATAAAAATAAAGTTATATCGATTAGGAATGCTGGTCACTCACTATTAAGTTTCAAAACTTCTTGGTCCACCACGCACCAAACAAGATCTCAGTTAATGAACAAAACCAATTATGACCTATATTTTATGCAAACCTTTGACTTAACTCTCTCTAAACCATACGTTGTATAAATAGATTGTTAACAACTTATCTATATATATGAGTATATTTATAGTTCTCTCATAGCCTTTTATAACGTAATATAATATTTAATCAATCAAATAACAATATGACTCCATTAACAAAACTCCATAACCACTGGTTTACAGCTTCTTAACTTTGAACAATCCTTAAAATCGATAAATTACCTTGTTTAATCATCGTTTTATATAGTCCTTAAATTTGTTTGATGTTAAAATTGTATCGGGTCTTCAACTAAAGCTTTTTGCTATATAAGAAATGAAATATTCAAGCAATAAATGGGAGTAAAAGTTTAACTTTAATAGGTTTATTGATTGGTTTAAAGGAGGTTTAGAAGTTACTGAGCGTATCTATAGCGGTCTAAAGTTGTTATAGTTTGGTAGTTTGGTAAAATATTGAGATAAAAGTGGGAAAAAATGAGTTGGGATGGTTTCAAGAAGGCTATTAATAGGGCCAGTAATACTGTTATAGTTAAAAATGTTGACAAAACAGTTGATAAGGAGTATAATATGGAGGAACGTCGTTATAAGGTTTTACAAAAGAGTGGTGATACCTTGCAGAAGGAGTCCAAGGGTTATTTGGATTCTTTGAGAGCAGTTACTGCTTCTCAAGTTACTATTGCTGAGGTAATTTCTAATTTGTATGATGATTCTAAATATGTCAGTGGTGGTGGTTATAATGTTGGTAATTACTACTTGCAATGTGTTCAAGATTTTGATTCTGAAACTGTTAAGCAGTTAGATGGTCCTTTTAGAGAAACTGTGTTGGATCCAATTGCTAAGTTTTCTACTTATTTCAAAGAAATTGAAGAAGCTATCAAGAAAAGAGATCATAAAAAGCAAGATTATGATGCTGCCAAGGCTAAAGTACGTAGACTAGTTGATAAGCCTGCAAAGGATGCCTCCAAGTTGCCAAGAGCTGAAAAGGAGTTAAATATTGCTAAAGATATTTTTGATCACTTGAATAATCAATTGAAATATGAATTACCTCAATTAATTGCTCTGAGGGTGCCTTATTATGATCCAAGTTTTGAAGCTTTAGTGAAAATTCAAATGAGATTCTGTACTGATGGTTACACTCGTCTGGCCCAAGTGCAACAATACTTGGACCAACAGTCTAGAGATGATTACGCAAATGGGTTGTTGGATGACAAAATCTCCGATTTATTACATCAAATGACAACTTTAGACATCTGTGCCTTAGGTATAAAATAGTGTCTCCGAGGTAACAAGTATATATATATGCATATATACATGTGTGTAATTATATAAGATTGGTCTTGTGTTGACTTTAAAATAATTTTCAGCTAAAAATTAGAATTTTTAAGTTAATCCAAACTAATCTTATAATGTAATATGATTTTTTGTTTGATCAAGAATGTAAAGCATACTCTAAGGTGAAAGTGTTGGTATGAAACCAGCACTAAGGATAAATCGAAATTATTATTTGGATTATCCATATAATTCAAGTTATGAATTAATCTTCATTTTTAAAAAGAATCCTCAATTGAATCTAAATTGGCGAATTATTTAAAAAGATGATGAAAATGAGATAAATAAAATAATAATACAATAATAAATTATGTAAATACAAAATCCATTATTACCTTTTGATAATACATTTGTTTCCTAGAATATTCTGGTCTTTTAATCGATCTAATTAGAATTGTAAAAAGAAGAATGAAAAAAAAAAAAAAAAATATTATGAATGCTTGAATATCTCTGAAATGTGATGAAGATCAGGGCCTATGATGCAATGAATATGACTTTAAAGAATGCTAATGACGGGGTTGCGGTAAATGACAAATTAAGAACAATAACCAAAACTAAATATATTGGTTAGTTAAGGGTCTTGCAAGAAGAAGTAGAACTAGTTAGTGAATCAGTACAACAATTAATTTCTCTTACCCATTCACTATTCAAAATTTGTTTACCTGTCAATCTTCTATGAGGGACTGGTTCTAGCATTGAATAAATGACATTTCTACATCTTGCTCTTTTTAAAGATTCGATTGGTTCGAATCCACCTTTTGATTTTCTGTCGACCAAATATTTTGCATAAAATTCATCATCTTTGTTTGCTGAATTCCACAACTGACGACCTGATCTCATTGCCATATAGATGACAGCACAGGACCATATATCTACTGGTCTTGGATCGAATTCTTCATGGATATATTCTTCTGGTGCAATATATGGGCTTGAACCGCAGATACCATCAGATAAATGAATATCTTTTTCCCAGGCCATTCTAAAACATTCACTATTACCAAAATCTACGATTTTAATGATACCATCTGAAGTTAATAGGATGTTTTCAGGCTTCAAGTCTCTATGACTGACCCCCATTTCTTGCATATAAACTACACCTTTGACGATCTGTTTAAAGAAACAATCAGCTTCAGCATATTCCAGTTTACCAGCAGCGACGATTAAAGTGAATAAGTCACCACCAGGGCAGAATTCCATTACTTCGAAATAATTTTTATGTGAATCTTGGAATAAATCATAGGTTTTAATAATATTTGTATGATTTAAAGAAGAAGAGATGCAAAATTCCGAGGTCAACCTTTTTGAATATTTATCATATGGTTCATTTGATTTTTTAGTGAATTCTTTTACAGCAAATAATTTCTCAGAATTTGTTATGTTATCCTTTTTACTACAAATTCTGACGATACCATAAGCACCTTTACCAATGACTTCTTTGCAAGAACCATATTTCTGAGCAAAGCACATTGAGGTAGCATTGTCCAGGTTGGAATTGACAGGAGTAATCTGGGGAGAAGGATGTTCTTTGTTGTTAATTTGGGAGATGAAATTGTTCAATAGAGAAGGTGGGATTGCAGATTTTGCTTGACCTCTTATTTTTTCATCAGAAGACATAAATTTTTTAACCATGAATGATAATTTTTCTTGTCTCTTGGAGCCTCTCAAGAGATGTTGATGTGAGCCATCTTGTAGTAATGCGAATCTATTGCATTGGTTTGATGTTGGAGTTGATGGTTCGGCTGAAGATACTGGCATATCTATGGTGATTGGTGAAGGAGAGTTTGAAGGAGTATAATTTGAGTTTGAATCATTTTCTATGTTTTGGATATTTGTCTCTATAGTAGGGTTTTGTTTTGAGCCAAAGATTCTTGCGAACTTTGAAGAGAACGAGTGTGATTTTGGCACAGGTTGTAGTACAATATCTGTCATTAATAATGTGGGAGAGAACACGATGGACTTGATGATAGGATGAGTTGAGTTTGTGAAATGTGGATTTGTTTAGTTTGTGAATGAGTGTATTTTTGTATAGTTTATATTGGAGGCCAAGATGAGAAATGAGAAATGGGATGGTTGGAAGTAGAGTATAGTAGAGAGTATATGGTTTTTAATATATATGAGAGTATTTGATACAAGAGAGTATAAATAGTTTTGACCCAAGATGTGATCCAGATGTAGTAATTATAAAACAAATTGGCAGCATAGGCATGTAGGACAGGAGAGAAGAGCAAGTTGCAAGTGCAAGTGGAACTGGATGGAACTGAAAGCAATTTGTGAAAATGTTTTGCTTATGGAGCAACAGAGAGAGATGAGATGAGATCTTTAAGTGAGGAGAGTTTAACGGGATGGGATGGGATGGGATGGTAAAGAGAGAGAGAGAGAGAGAAAAATTTTTTTGATTAGAAATGAAATGAAATGACGTTATTTTAGCAGCGCAGGTAGATATTTGACTAGACGAGTATTTGTGAAAAGATGACGTAGTTGGCCGGAGGGAGGGAGAAGTTTGTTTTTGCTGCAACAAGAAGCTAGAGAAAAGAAACGAGAGGAAAGAAAAGGCCAGGCAAGAAAAGAAAAGAAAAGGAAAAACTGATTTGTGTAGGAAACAGCGAAAGGATGTATTTTTGTACGACACGGTGGTGGATGGCAAGGACGAGGACAGGGCCGGGTAGTTTACTGGCAAAGCAAATGCAAAACCGAAAGCAACTGGGTGGTCAACTCTTGTATATGTATCTAGTTCCTGTGTCTTGTTTTCCTCGTCCTACGACTTGGCTCTAGCCCAACTAATCTACTCTATAAACTCCTTGACACGGATCTAAAATACTACGCAATGTTTGTGTGTTTTTTTGATAGATTTCCCGTTGGAAGAAAAAACAAAACAAAACAAACAAAAAAGGACTTTAAGTTGTTTGCAAGTGAAGGAACGTGATTATCACGTGAATAGCATGTGCGTGGCCCACTGCATTGGACCCGTAGCTTCATGAGCTACTCTATACAACGGGCGCGTGGTCTAGAGGTATGATTTCCGCTTAGGGTGCGGGAGGTCCCGGGTTCGAGTCCCGGCTCGCCCCATGAAAAAGAGATTTTAATTACGATTTTAAGCATAAAATTGTAAGAGCCAAACTTTTTTTTTGGGCCCTCTGTTCTGTAAGAAAAAGAAAAGCAACATTTAAACGTAGTAGTAAACCAAACTAAAAATAAATTGTATGGTTTGGTTTGGTTTGGTTTGGGTTTCACCGAGAACAGCAAATCATAATAACCCAAATTGATAAACGTATTATCTATCATTGTTCCCGTCCAGAAGCATATATGTGCGTGCTTGTTCTTGTTGCCTCTTGAATTCCCAGTTTGGGAGCACTCGGTCCCACAAACCGAACTCACACGATACGACATCTCGCTAACACATACACATACACATGCAAGTGCAAGTGTATCGGTCAGGCTGCCCAATGAAAAACCACACACCATCAAGCGATCGCAATCTGTCGGCTCAAAAAACACGCCAGCACACACACACACAACGAATGACCGAGCACGGCACACAAACACACAGATAATCCAGGGTTCCTCCGCCCGTTCGTCGGCAACCGCAACATCCACTCCGACGCGTGACCCTGTCGTTCTGCCTCCCACCCCCCCCCCGTTCCCCGTCGCCTTCTCCCGCCAGCCAATTGGCTACAAAACCAAAAACCAAAAACAAACCAAAATGTACATGACTATCCTTTGCAGCAGCAGCAGCAGCTCTGTGTCTTCGGTCTGGAAACAGAGAGGTATTAATTACCTGTTTTCCCATCGCCAAGTTGAGCTCAGCGTAACACATACATAGTGTCGCTTAGCTCAACTCAGCTCAGCTCAACTCAGCTCAACTGGATGGTTTGATTATCGCCCAATTCCTGTGATGATGTCGATGTCTGCCCGATCTTCCTCTTCTTCTTTTTTTCCATTTTCCATTTTCCATCTTTTGTGTAGACCATCGCATCGCCCATTGCTATTTGCCCATTACCATCAAACATCAACGCTAACTTCAGCTTCAGCTTCAGCTTCAAACATCATCAACTTCTTCTTTACCATTTGCATTGCTATCATAACCTCTCTTTCCTCATAACTCATGCCGACTGCTCTTCCTTCGGTCCCTCCTTATGTCCTCCATTAACACTTGCTCTTCCTCTTCCATACCCACCATCCACCATCCACCATCCCCCCCCCCTTCGTCCCCCTTCGCTCATCCTCGTCTTTGGGTTCAAAAATGTTCATCAATCCGAAGCAACATTATATAAAGGTTCATCTCATCCATCCTCCCAATCTTCATCATCTTCATCCTGCTCGTCTCACCTTCTGTTTCCCTTTCTCTCTCTCTTGCAACACCTAACACTATCATCTCATCTTCCATCACGTCCCCCCTGTACTACACTACTCTATAATTTACATATTCATATTCCATCCCATATCATATCATATCATATACGTTCCCATAATTTCCAATGTCATCTGTCCTTCTATCAAGTTCTGCAAGAACTTCAATCCTATTGAGAAATAACCTCTTCAAATCTTCCCTGCACTTGCGTGCCTTCTCCGCCTCAGTCCCAAACAACGAAAAAACTCTAAAGGAAACCTTTGCTGACATCTACCCTGCAAAAGTAGATCAAATCAAAGACTTCAAGAAAAAATACGGCGATGTAGTCATCGATAATGTCACTCTCTCCCAAACTTACGGTGGTATGAGAGGTATCAAATCCTTGGTCTGGGAAGGCTCCGTCCTCGATCCAAACGAAGGTATCAGGTTCAGAGGTAAAACCATCCCAGAAATTCAAAAATTATTGCCAAAGGCTTCTTCCGGAGGCAGTGAACCATTGCCAGAATCCATCTTTTGGTTATTGTTGACCGGCGAAGTGCCAACTGATTCACAAGTTAAGGCCTTCTCAGCAGATTTGGCTTCCAGATCCCAATTGCCTGACCATGTACTGGCTTTATTGGATTCTCTACCAAAAAATCTACATCCAATGGCTCAATTCTCTATCGCAGTCACTGCTTTAGAATCAGAATCAAAATTCGCAAAGGCTTACGCTCAAGGTGTAAACAAGAAAGAGTACTGGAACTACACTTTTGAAGATTCTTTGGATTTATTGGGTAAATTGCCAATGATCGCTTCAAAAATTTACCGTAACGTTTTCAAAGATGGTAAAATCTCTAAAATTGACCAAAACGCTGACTATTCAAAGAATTTGGCAAACCTATTGGGTTTCACCAACACCGACTTTGTAGAATTGATGAGATTGTATCTAACTATTCATTCAGACCATGAAGGTGGTAATGTCTCTGCTCATACTACCCATTTGGTCGGTTCTGCCTTGTCCTCTCCTTATCTATCCTTAGCCGCTGGTTTGAACGGTTTGGCCGGTCCTTTACATGGTAGAGCTAACCAAGAGGTGTTGGAATGGTTATTCAAGTTGAGAGAAGAAGTCAAAGGTGATTACTCAAAGGAAACTATAGAAAAATACTTGTGGGATACTTTGAACTCTGGAAGAGTTGTCCCAGGTTATGGACATGCCGTATTAAGAAAGACTGATCCTCGTTACACAGCTCAAAGAGAATTCGCTTTGAAACACTTCCCAGATTACGAATTGTTCAGATTGGTCTCTACTATCTACGATGTTGCTCCAGGTGTCTTGACTAAACATGGTAAGACAAAGAACCCATGGCCAAATGTCGATTCTCACTCTGGTGTTCTATTGCAATATTACGGTTTGACTGAAGCCTCTTTCTATACTGTCTTATTCGGTGTTGCAAGAGCATTCGGTGTATTACCACAATTGATTATGGATAGAGCTTACGGTGCTGCTATCGAAAGACCAAAATCTTTCTCAACTGAGAAGTACAAGGAATTGTCGAATCAATTGTCAACAAACCAATAAATTAATTTCTAATATTCTTAAAGTCATTACCATTTTTTTGATCTTCCAAGTACTTCATCCTTTGGTGAAGATGTTCTCCTCCATTTTCTTTTTTGAACTTAGGTTAGTTTTATGTGTTTGTGTGTCTATGTGTGCGTCTGTTTATTCTATGTTTTAGTCCTTTGAAAGTTAGGGTTCGTGTAACTATCCATTTTTTGCCATATTCCACAACCATAATCTGCTCATTAAAAATCATTTTGTAATTTCAAGATGAAATTTTATTTTATCTTTTGCGATACTTTACTACCATTCCAATAATCTAACATTGAGAATTGTTACACATCATCATTGTCATCACTATCGCGAAAATATCTACTATTTTAACCCTCACTGTCAAAATCTTATAATGTGGTCATATTCTTGTAAATTGATGCTACTCATCAAATCATTGCATGTCATCATGTATCATCATCTTTTGACGTCAGAAGCAACTATAATTGAAGTTGCAATTTATTATATTTAAATTCTATGTAATTATTTATTCTATGAACTATAACGAATAATGAATTGAATCATTCATCATTTTACTATTTTAATTTTTATTTTAACATTAGAGATGTGGGATAAGTAACGGAACATTTAGGGTTCAATAATTATAGATTACTTTCAGTTAAATGTTTTGATTATCAGAATTAGCTAATGTGACTATCAGATGTAAAAAGAATGCAAGCACTTTGATGAAGTGCAATAAAGGTTATTCTACTGAGCAGCTACAAAAAATTGTAACAGGAAGCAAAAAAGAAGAAACAAAGCACTCACGGTGGGGGTCGAACCCACAATCTTCTGATTAGAAGTCAGACGCGTTGCCATTACGCCACGCGAGCTTAATTTCTTGGAAGTTTTCTGAAAATTATGTAAATGTAATTGTAATAATTTTACAGGTCCGGGTAATAAAATAACTAGTGTCGCAATAAGAAAGATGAGACACATGGTGCTGTAACCTAAAATTGTCAGAGTTATGTGGTGAAGAGTAAGGCATACTCATCACAATATTATTTGTAAAGGATAAATAAATGTTACTCTACACTAAAGTGTTATTTCTGACCCGTTTAGAATTTTCAAGCACTGTATATAAGAGATGATAAGATCTTAATTGATACTTATCATATGTACTATATTCCCATGTGTATATTTTATACTTTAATACACCGGATCAATATCAACTTATTAAGAATGTCCTTGCAAACAACTAAACAATCTACTATTATTAACGATTCTGTAAAGAATTCACAACCCTCTGATTCTCTACAAAAGTTTTTCGGTCATTCTCTGTATCGATATCTGTTGAAATTGTTGATCATTTTTAATAGGTGACATATTTCTTAAATTATATTTCTCCGTGAGGATTTTATATATAATATAAAATAATAATATAAATATGTAAAGGTAATCTTGGAAATCAGATTATCCTAATCTTGAGATTAGTGTCCGTATTTATACGTTTAATCTTCGATCTCACAATCTTGTAATTACTAATCATTAATTCTAACAATTCCTTGCACTCTCACTCAAGTATTTTAGTTTATTGGTAATTTACCAATAATATTCTTTTTATTTTGTTTCTAGAATGTTCTACAATATTGCAAACAATCAATAACCTGATTGTTAGTAATTACCTGATTAGTTATTGTATACCATATTAATAGATTGATTTATGTTACATTATCATAGATATATCTATGACGTCATGAACATCTTATAAAGTAGTCACGTGTGAGTGGAAATAAGGAACATTCTGGAACCTTCTAGGTCAGAACAATATCAAAGTTACTGTCATTAGTGAAAAAACTAGTCAAATTATTTGCATCTTCATCATGACCTTCCAAAAGTTCCTCACCTCCTTCCAAAAATTGATCATTGAATAATCTAGTAGAACTTAGACCTCTTCTATCAGTTACACGTTCTCTTAAACTTTGCAAATTCTTACCAATAAATCTTTTTGTCAGTTGCAATACCGAAAAAACACTTGAAGTCAATAGAAGACCTGTTCTAACTATATTGTTTACAGCTTTGTCTATATTGTTTTCTTCAATTATTTCATCTCCTAATCTAACTTCACCAAATCTTGAAAACCCTCCATTTCTACGAATTCCGCGGTCATAGATAAGCCAAGTAATCTCCAAATATGGGTATGTCAAGACTAGTTAAATTAGCATGTAATTCTAAATACAATAATTCTCAGTAATCATGGCAATCCTTGTTTAAAAATGAAGGTTTCGAGAAACCCCCCTATTAAATCTAATATTAATGGTACCTGGCAGAATTATTTATTAATCTGCATTTTAACATATTTTTTGGAAAATTAATGTTTTGTTCGGAGTTAAAATATATCACTAAAATAATATTACACAAGATTCAAAACAAAAACATATATATCTTTTTATCCAGTTAATCAAAGAAGAAAATATTTAACCTCTTGGAAACCAACAATATAGCCTATTAATTAATACAGAATGTATTGTGATGGCAATAACCAATTCACAGTTTCTCATTTTCAAATACATATATATATTTTTCCCAAATCCTCATCCAATTACACTAAAACAAGATGGTTCTTACTTGAACCAATAAACTTTAGGGTTGAACCTAGCCAAAGCTTAAATTTGGTTTAAGCATGTTGAAGACTACAACATGTGACATTCAAGACTCAAGAATCAAATGGAAACCAATTAGGAACAATTATAATAAAATTCCAGATTAACCAATCCCTTCTTCATTCTTTCCTTCCCCGCCACAGACCCACATAAACTGAGCACTGTAGTCTCTTTGACCATCAGTTGGGAACACACATATAGGTTAATTCCTAAAACTTTAAAGTCCAGAAAGAACATAAAGAGCCCCCCACCCCCTCTATACTTAATACAACAAGACAGTTGAAAATTGCCAACTTTTTGAAAAACTTCAGCGAGAGGTTTTTGATCAGATTTCCAAATTTATATAAAGAATAGATAGATATGACTAAAAGTGATATATTTAATTTTCTTATTATATCCCACCTCCCTAATTTCATCTAACTGTACCATTTACCACTCCATTAGCAAGAAACAAGAACTACCTACACTCAGAGAGTACTCTATTCTCTGAAAGAAGACCAACCGGTAACTTCTTAACCGAAACCTCAAAAGGTGGGATTCCTTCATCTTACATGTCAACTTCCCCAGCTTTTGAGACATCCTGAGACAACTTCTATATACAACTATCTATCTTCCCATCTTACTCTAATGCTATAGCATCCTATCTTATCTTTTACTTTGTTTAAACCATATGATTGATTGATTCGATTGATTCCATAAAGTCCATATTGGTTGACATATTCCGATGTCGAAAGAGTATAATTCAAATACGTAAGATGTCTCGAATTAAAGTTCTGTAATAGAATAAAATCCATTATTGAATGCGGTATGAGAAGTTGTAGGATCATCCAGGTAACTTCGTTATTCTGGTTGTAGAAAGCTGTTTTAAATATTACCATGTTTCCGAAAGTTCTACAGTTCTCCTTGGTAAAATATTTCATTATTTTATTTTTTTCGTTATGACTAGTTTCATTTCTTATTACATGAACTTGACGTCTTTCCCTGATTCTTATTCATTTTTTTTTCTATTGGTATTTTTGGTTCGATGTTTATTATTCAATGAATTTGATTTGATTCGATTCGATTGGATAGCAGGATCCTTTAAGGTAGTGATTTTTCTTAATATTATTTAATTCACATACATCATACATCATACATTATTAAGGAGTAATTGTGAAATTTGATTAACTGGTTGAATACCGTTCTAATGGAGGAAGTATCGAATTTTATATATGGTTAGTTTCGTTAGGGAACGCTTGTGCTATTGGTTTTTTACTGTCCTTATTCTTATTACTTGAAGAATTTCAGTTACGTACAGTATATTAGACTGAAGACTCATTATTTAGTAATGTGTTAATGCAAACAAAAACACTATATATATAGGGATTGTTTGATACAATATTTATTATAAAATTCATTTTTCTTATTTCAATCAAACATGTTTTTACCTTCTATATAGTTAAACAACAACTTTCAAAAAATTAAATAATTAAGAATCATTGATAAAAAGTCAATATATTATGATTCGTAATAATATCACTGCATTAAAGGTTGTAAGGCAACCTTTAAAATTTAAAAATTTATCAAGATGTATATCTACTTCCCAGATTTCTTTGAAAAATAAGGGCTATAAGAATTATCAATATGGGAAAAATTATAAAACAACTACAATTGTTGCTTCTTCTGCATTATCAACTACTTTGTTGGCATATCTTTATACAAACAACAACATTAATAATATTTCAAATGATGTTTCAATTGAACAGTTATCAAAGAAAAGTTTAAAAATAATCACTCCGCAAGAAGTCATAAAACATAACTCAAAGGATGATTGCTGGGTTGTAATCAACGACATAGTATATGATTTAACTTTCTTCATTAAAAAGCATCCTGGCGGCCAAGATGTGATTGTTGGGAATGCTGGTAAAGACGTCTCAAATATATTCCTACCTTTACATCCTCTTGACACTATAGAGAAATTTATCCCTAAGGACAAAATAATTGGTGTAATAAATGAACCAATGCCAGCTGATTATATTTGTCCAAAATATGCTCCTGGTGAAACTCCTGAGGAAATTGCTGAAAAAGAACGTTTAAAGACTTTATTACCATCAATTGGTGCAATTTCGAATTTATATGATTTTGAATATTTAGCATCACATATCCTATCAAAGCAAGCTTGGGCATATTATTCTTCTGCTGCTGACGATGAAGTATCATTGAGAGAAAACCATTCTGCATATCATCGTATTTTCTTCAAACCAAAAGTTTTGGTAGATGTTTCAGAAATTGACTTATCAACTGAATTTTTTGGCCAAAAGTCTGATGCTCCATTTTATGCAACTGCCGCTGCTTTAGGTAAATTGGGTAATCCAGCTGAAGGTGAAAAAGATATCACTAGAGGTGTTGGCCAAGGTTCTACAAAAGTTCCACAAATGGTATCAACTTTGGCTTCTTGTTCTATTGATGAAGTTATGGGTGCAAGAGTATCAGAAAACCAACCGATCTGGTTTCAATTATATGTTAACTCTGACAGAAAGATTACAAACGATTTAGTTAAACATGTCGAAGAATTAGGTGTCAAGGCTTTATTTGTTACAGTAGATGCCCCAGCTTTGGGACATAGAGAAAAAGATGAAAAAGTTAAATTTTCAGCAAATCAGAAAGAATCAACAAATATGTTGAAAGAAGCAAAGGTTGATGCTGACGCTGACGGTGCCTCTAGAGCTCTATCAAAGTTCATCGATCCTTCATTATCTTGGAAAGATATCATAGAGTTAAAGAAATTAACAAAATTACCAATCATTATTAAAGGTGTACAGAGATCAGAAGATGTTATAAAAGCCGCCGAAATTGGATGCCAGGGTGTTGTTATATCCAATCATGGTGGTAGACAACTAGATTTCTCAAGAGCACCTATCGAAGTTCTTGCAGAATCCAAACCTGAGTTAGAAAAACGTAATTTGGATAAGAATTTTGACATATTTATCGATGGTGGTGTTCGTCGTGGTACTGATATTCTCAAAGCCTTATGTTTAGGTGCTAAAGGTGTTGGTTTAGGTAGACCATTTATATATGCCAACTCCTGTTATGGTGCTGCCGGTGTTCAACGGGCAGTAGATATATTAAGAGAAGAACTGGAGATGTCAATGAGATTGTTAGGTGTTACATCCGTAAAGGACTTAAACGAAGATTTGTTGGATTTATCCGCATTGAAATACAGAAGTGTCAGCGTTCCACATGATGAATTATCACAATCAGTCTATAAGCATTTAGCATTCACTGAATTCAGACCTGATGATGCCCAATAGTGTAAATCACTTACACAAGCATACATATATATATTCTTAGTATAAAATATAATGCCCCTCCCTAGTATTTAAAACACGTTACATATAATGACCAAATATATCATGGTACTTCATACAAACGTCAGATGTTGTTTTATTTTGTATAGCGATCTTGTAGTCAGGAAACTTAACTTTAAGGATATGATGGAAATAATTGAAAAAG